ATAGAAGTCATGAAGAAGGCTATCACTAGTTTCTTTCAATGTCTTGGATAACCATTACACAAAGCATATGATAGGCTTAAGGAATTTCTTAGGAAATTTCCATACCATAAGTTACCAACATGACAAATCAATAAGGTGTTTTATGATGGATTGATTGAGTAAAATAAATAGATAGTTGATGTGGAATGTGGAGGAGTATTCATGAATAAGAATGAAAATGAAGTCCATTAGCTGTATGAGATGCTTAGTGAGAACTGCATTTATCATGCATCCTTTTTTGTATATGATAGACAATAATGAGAAGCTAGCAAGGGAGGAACCTATGAAGTACATGATCGAAAGCTTATATTAGTGAAATAAAATCTAGTAGCAAGTAGAAAGGGTGAATTTAGTATAAGAAAAACTTGAGTAAATTTTACTTAAGAAAGCACATAACCCCTCACCATATTTCCTAGCACAGAGTGATGTATCCCCTTCTTTAGTACCACTCTTGTTGCTCTCCTTGATACAAGATGGTCTAATTGACTGATCCATCTCATTTATGAGTCAGACTGTCCATATATAGAGAAATCTTTTTCCTGTAGATAGGAGCAAGTATAAGCAGCCTATGGTTATCCCAATCCCACACATAACTCATATTTAAATACCTAAAAACCTTGGGTGAAGGAGTCACCCTAACTTCTGAAGAAAGTTACAAAATTAGAGGCCAGCACTATTTCAATATGAAAACCAGCAGCCTCAACTAACTAACTTTAGATGACCTTTTAAGCAAATCCACTTACACAGCAGCATATAGAACAATCCCAGGATGATAACTAGACCCAAAATATACTAGTTCAGATGTTGTTGCAGTAGTAATAAAATATATTGCAGTAGCAATAGGGTATTGTATGACTTGAATGAGAAATAGGTAGGATAGCATAAGCAAGTGCAAAAAGGGACAACTGTCAGCTTCCTAAGGTACTCTAATCCCCCTAGGTTCTCATCCTAATCCCAAAAGGTAGTGTACCAACACCACCTGGATCATTACACTATGAGCATGCTAAAGTTGTAATGACCAGATTGAGTGAAAGAGTCTTAGATGACCCATATAAAGGGAATAAGAGTGTTGATACATCTAACCAAACTAATCAGGAGATTCCTCATACTAGTGACACCTTAATCCCCTAGGATTTACATAAAGACTATAACAATGATTAAGGAGATCTCTCTATATTGGAGGGTAAGGCTAGTGAGCAGGGGAGAGTAAAATCAGATCCTAAAGACTATCAATTTCAGATTCCCTTCCTATAGGCACTTAGAGGATAACTAAAGAAGAAATTGACATGAGATGAAAAATTAATGAAGATACTTGATTAAGTAGTTTGATCATTCCTCTTGTGGATGCTATTAAACACATCCCATCATATAGAAATTTCCTCAAGAAGTATAGTATATCATGGATGACATGACTTAATTATTGTATAATATGTCACATAAATTTTTAATTTATAAAACTAGAAAAATATCCAAATTTTAATTTTTAGAAGTATTTCAGCACAAATATAATAATTATAATTTGATAAGAAATTATAAAAATACTGAAAAATTTTAAGGTCCATCATAGGGATGTAAGAAGACAATAGTAGGCAAAATTTCAGAGTTTTTCTCAAAGAATATGCTTTTTAATATTTTTACACTAAATGATAAAAGAAAATTTATTTAAAATCTCACAAAAAAAGAAAATTTGGGTGAGGATGTTAGGATGATGTCAGCACCTCAATGAACATAATTTGGGTAGAAATATAATTCTGCTTGATGATTCTTGTGTAAATAATTACAAATGATTTAATTGATTAAATTTAGATTAGTAAAACCCAAAATAATTATAATTGACTAAAGAAAAGTTTCAAAACCTAAAATCACATAAAATATCACTAATTAAAATAAAAAATAGGTTTTAAATTTGAAATATAAAGTTCCAACATCGAGACAATGATTACTGAAATTTTAAGCATTTAGAAAGATTATCATATGATGTCCATGGCCTCAAAAACTCTCCTTTGACATTCACGATGCGGATAATCTTTAGGTCCTCTTGCAAAGTCAAAAAATTAATGAAATAGGTTAATAAATCATCTACGGTGACTGTTACCTAACAAAATGAAAATTCAAAAACTTTTAGATCTCTAACAAACCTAAATGATCAATCAAATTTTCACAAATACTTATTTTATCTATTGAGATCATAAAGTAAACATTTCTATAAAATAAAATCTATGTTATCTTATCATGTATATGAGGAGTATTTAAACATCTAATGTCACTAATCATTCTTCTAACTCATCAATAATCATTCTAATCTTTTTTGGTATCAATCATTTTAATTGATTTAAGATTTTCTGCATGAAATATGATGTACAAAATTTGTAAGAGTTTTTTTTTAATTTTCAGTTATATTTTCAATAACTACGAATTTTTCAACAATTATAATTTTTCAATTTCAACTACATTTGTCTAGGAGGTTGAAATGTGAGAAAAGGGTATCTAAATTTTCAAAGTTTTAACTATTTTTCTGTTATCTTTGATAGTATGTAGGCTGTTTTGTACTATTTCTAATAGAAAACTAACAAACAAATGTCATAGTTTTTTTGAAAGTTTTTTTTCTAATTTTCTTTTATAGGTAAGTATGAAAACAGATGCAAACGCATGTGTTTAATCAATCTACAGTAGAAATTAGGATTTAATACATCACCCCAACTGAAAAATAACATTGTTCTCAATGACACAAATTAGAATAGAATAATTAGAACATAATTATTTCAAATCAAAAAACATATTTAAATTTAAGCACGAAATTTTTTTCATAAAGGGTGAGGTTCAAAAAAATATCACTTTAAATTTATTCTTTATTTTCTACCTCATCTTAAATGCCTCCTATATTTTTAGTCAAGGAAACAAATACAAAACAAATTCTATGTAATTTCAGAAAAAATAGAAGTAAATAAAACATAATTAATGAAACAAAAATCATGAGTTGCATCTCACCAAGCACTGAGTTTATTGTCTCCAACTAGGCACATTAAAGCTACTCTTGAATTGCTTCTGATAATATATATTTTTTCTTCTGTAAGGCATTCATTTTCTATATAATGTTTAAGCCAATATTCATTTAACTTAAAAGTCTTTTTTAGAATCTTTAATCATTACAGCCCCATGCTCATATATCTCATCTACCATGTTGATGGACTCTAGTTGTTGTTAATTAAAATGCTCAAATCTTAAATTTATAAATTGACTTTAATTATATTTCTATTTAAGTTATATAGTAGATTTTGGGTCGAACATAGGGAGAATTTTGTGATTGGTCGATGTATATTAATTAATGGTCTAATTTTGATTCATTTTGTTTTCTGAAATTCAGCAACAACTAGATGAATGTGGAATTCCCTAAATCTTTAAAAAAGTTGAATGCACATGGAGTGGAGAAATCTTCTCAAAGTCCCACCAAGAACCACATCAACTGGTTAAGGATGTTTGATGGAAAGGATTCTTCAAATCCTTTAGGAAATTTAAGTGATCAAATCATCAAAATGAGGAGGGCACTGATTGAAGAATTGTGAATTGCATTAAACAAAAATTAAGAGTTCAATTACAACGAATTGAAAAGGAACAATACAGAAATAAACTTCTTCCTCTTGTTCTGATGGATGTGGGGAGAGAACGGCAGCCTCATGTAGGGGTTTCTTCGGTTGATCCTCTTCTTGCTGCACCAAGGGAGGAGATCGACAATTTTTGCCCTGTGCTGTCACCACCTATGGTGTACAAGCGGTGCCGACGGATAAGGGGAGAGGAGGCTGGTTCGATTGTAGGAGAGAACCATGCCAAATAGGGGAAGAAGAAGAGGTGATCACGAATGAGGGGGTAAGTTTGCACTGGGTTCCCTTTTGGGCTCATGTGCCCTATTTTAGGCATGCCCCTTATGCCCCTCTCAATCTATAAAAAATAACAAGTCAGTCAATTTTACAATTTTACCTTTTATATTTACTAATTCTTCAATAGTTCATCATGAAACTAGGAATAAATATATACTCATACTCATGTATCATGATTATCCATTAATCATATTTCCTCCAACAACTACTAATCATATATTTCTCCTCTCATTTATCTCAATGCTCCCATCTTTGTAGAAAATAAAAAAAATGATACAATTCATAAATCATCATGTGAAAATACATAGTAGAGTACTGAATGTTTACTCATCATATTCTAATATTCCTTAGGATTTAAACACTAATCTTCTCGCCCCTTTAATATGATAATTATTTGGATTATCACAACCCCCAACTTGAACATTGCTAGTCCCTTAGCAATATATCAAGCTTGTGCTATGTATCAATTAATACTCCTAAGCTTAACTCCTTTGATACTCTCCTCAAGTGTTGATAATTCTATAAATATCAAGTCCTCAGAATCAAAATTCAAAAAGACTTTCAGATCCGTATTTGAGTCCCTTTTTTACGCACAGTTGTCACTTTCCTTTCGTTGCTCATCCTTTTTCCATCAACTAATGAAACTTGTCTACTCTTTGATCTTGACCTAGCTTCATGCTCTCCTTCAGGTGACGTGATATGAATTAATTCTCAATCTAGTGTTTGCATGACTTAGTATCCATTATAGTTAAATGTCCCCCATCAATACCTAGACTGTGAGGTATGAAGGTGAATTCTTCGTCTTAATCTCACATGTGGAGTCCCCATAGGACAAGTTGGAAATCCGATTTCACCATCACTGACCTCTTTGTTATTTTTATTTAATTCCATATTCTTTTGAGGAGATATCTTTGCTCTAGTCACACATGTGGAAGCCCCATGGAGGAAATGGGAAGCCCCCTCTCAATATTATTGTTTCTTCTTTCTTCTTTCTTTTTTTTTTTTGTTCTTTACTAGGAGATATTTGCTTGAATCGCACATGTGGAAGCCCCACAGAGCAAATGGGAATCCTCTTCTCCAAACAATATGTTTTTTTTTATGGGTTCAATTTGCTTGCAAGAATCATTATTTCCCACTTTTCCTCCAATTGACTTGCATCATGTACATCGAATTAAGAAGGGAGCATTTTCACCTTTTCTTTCGCATCAAGCACCAAAGATCATAACTTCAGGATTCTAGATTTGCAATATCCAGTCCATGGTTTTTCTGTGCCCTCGAAAGATTTTCTCCTACTTCTCATCAAGAACTCTTGTTCATCTTGACCATTGCACTATTCATTATGCAGTCTTAATCAAATACTTAAGTTGATTTCATTAAACAAGTGCATTTCCTATTTTACTTAACTCACTCATCCTCCTTATTAAAACTGCATCATTATCCTTAATGATTAAATAATAAATATAGATAAAAATTTGGAGGGATGCAAGTTAGAAAGAACACAATCATGATCAATGCACAAGGGCATGAAATGTAATAAATTCAGGTGGGGTGGAAGTTTAATCCCTTGACTAGAATCTTCTCCACAGCCAACATTCTCCACAATTTAGTCAATTGGGAAATGAAATTTTGATTGAATAAATTACACTAAATGAAGGAAAAACTAGAAGAAAATTTAGACGACAATAAGCAAAAATAATAGGGTTGCCTCTTTAGCAGCACTAAGTATAAAATCATTAGCTAGACAATAGTGTAGTTCATTATATGTTTTACAAATTAATTTATCTACCTCTACTTTATCATTCTGCTCAAGATATGCTTTAATTCTCTCCCCATTCACTTTAAAATAGTGGTTATATCCTTGATCTCTAAGTGTGGCTGATAACATGATATTTATGTTGATTATTCCCTACATTTCATGTGATTTTTGTTCATTTAAATGTTGAAAATATCATGTTAAATATCATTTAACACAATTGTTTAAATATTCTTGGATATGCATTAATATCACTCAAATTTTATTGAATGTTTAAAATAAGTTTTTAGATTTTAAAAATATTATTTTGTAAAATTTCTATATTTTTGACCCTTCCTTGGAACAAATTCGATTTCACAAGCACCACATAGAATTAGGTTAACATTTTCTAGGAAAGCATATCAGAGTTAATTTCTTAGCTTCTGTAATTTTTTGTGATCTGTAATAAGTTTAGTTTAGGTTTTCAGATTTTACCATTACTACTTTCTTTGTTTTTTTTATGTCCTCAATTTCTAATTGTTGACCTCCGATAATATTATTGTTAAGAGAATGACATACTAAATTACATGATAACTTTTAAAGATATTAAATTAGAGTTAGTTATCTATATATTCTGAGATTTTCTTAAATTTTATTGTTAGATAATAATGTTTTCAACTTTCTAATTTTCCTAAGGATCAACCTGAAATCCCTATAATTTAAGAGAGCTTATTTGGGTTTTCAATTATAAATATTAAATTTGAGTGCTTAAACTAACAACAACTTTGGGCATATCAAATTTTGGCACTATTGCTGGAGAAATTATGCAAAGTTGGCATCATTATTATGTTTATAAATTTGTTTCTCTCCTTATGTTTTTTTTTTCTTGTAGATAAGAAAAAAGAAAGAAGATCAAACAAAATTTAATGCACATGCCTCAAAGGTGGTAAATCACTAGAGGTATTTCTAAACTCTGGATTTTTGCTTGATTTATGCTTGGTAGGAGATCTCTAAACCTTGATTTGATTTCATTAGAATCTGCTCCTACCTTTAAAATTTCTAAAAGCTCTAAAACTACTAAAATGGATAATATGATTGAAAATCTTGAGCAGGTTAATAAAGAGCCTAAGTCTTTGAATGAATATTTTAATCCATCTAGTGGCATTGAACTTTTTGAAATCCTATTTACATGCATGATATTAAACCATGTGTTTTTCAGATTTTACCAAATTTCTATGGAAATTTAAATGAAAACACTTATGATCATTTGCAAGAGTTTCTGAAAATATATGCAACTATAAAGGGTACTGATGATTCCTTGAAAATTGCTCTATTTCCATTCTCACTTAAGGGAGAAACAAGTCACTGGATTTCCACTCTTAATTTGAGAAATATTACATGGTCTAAATTGGTTCAGGAATTTCTTAAAAAGTTTCATCCTTGTGGAAAATCTTAAAAAATTTCATTAACATCCTTGTGTAAAGACTCATGCTCTATTTCCATTAACATGTTGATCACTTAAATTGATCATGAAATTTTCTCAAAATGTTAATGAATCTTTACATGATGCTTGGAATAGATATACAAAAATGTTTCGAAAATGCCCTCATCATAGTGTTCCTAAATGACAACTTGTTCAAATTTTTTATGGATTAAACTACTGACATAAACAACTTGATTGATGCATCTTGTGGTGGTTCTTATGCTAACAAGAGTAAAGATCATGTGTATAAGCTTCTATAAGAATTGAGTGAAAATTCTTATAACTCTTTGGATTTTGATAGAACTAATCCTCCCTTGAAAAGGGATGATGTTTATGAATTGATCAAGCATGCAAATAAGGATTTGAGGAATGAAGTCAATGAGATCAACAAGAAGTTAGAGAAGCTACTATCTTCTCAAGGTACACAAAACCTTAAAACCCCAATTTTGTAAAATTCAGTTTGTTCTATTTGTACTAGCATTGGTCATGATGAGAATACTTGTCCTACATTTCTACAATCTATGAATCTTGATCATGAGCATGTCAATGCATTTTCAAAATCTAATTTTAATTCTTGTCCTCATCAAAATTCTACTTGGAATTCAAGTCCTCAAGACATGCAATTTTCAAAACCTCCATCTCACAGTTTTCAAAATATAAATCCTTCATCACAAAATCCTTTATATCTTCAAAATTTCCAAAATTTCCAAACCCTGTCTGTTTTTAACTCTAATTTTTAAAATCAGATGTCTCATTTTCAAAATCAAATACCTTCTCAAATTGTCCCATATCCTCAAAACTGTTTTCCACATCCTATGCACAATAGAGTGGCCTTAGGAGCTCCATCTCATGTTCCTAATGCCCATTTAGAGGAGACTGTTAATTCTTTGAAGGAACAATTGCAATAGCAATAGTAAGCTATGGCACTATTAATGACCCAAAATAAACAAATTGCAAATATTTCAAAGGTCAAACAATCAAGGGAGTCAACCAAATAAGGTAAACCCTAGAGGACAACTCCCTAGTCAAGCCATAGTTAGTCCTAAGAATTATCCTCTTGGTTTTACACCTTCTATCCCTACCACCTCCATGATTAGTGGTCAAGACCCTAGCAGTAGCCAAGGATCTCAAGTAGAAGAGATTAAGGAGGTGAAGAGACTTAGAAATGGTAAGTTGATATCCAAAGCCACTAGGATGCCTTCAAGTGAGCCGAGCTTACCTAAATTAGGGGATGATGTGCAAGAGAAAGGAAACATTATTTCTGATCAAGAAAATGAAATTAGAGATAGAGAGAATGAGAAAGAAAAGAAGAAAGGAAAATCCATCTTTAAGGAGCTTGGTGAGAGTGGAGAAAAAGAGAATTGAAAAGAGATAGGGCTATCTAAAGAGACTGAAGCTTATAGTCTACCTATTCCTTTTCCTTCAAGTCTTTTTCCTCACTTAAAAGATAAAAGGAAGCATATTGATGATCATGAATTATAAGAATTATTTTCTAAAGTTCAAATTTAAATCCCTTTGGTTGATGCTATTCAACAAGTTCCATCTTATGCTAAATTTTTGAAATATCTTTGTACTCAAAAGAGAGAAACTAAGAAAATTAACCTTTAATCTGAGATTAGTGTTATCATTTTAAATGAAATGCCCAAGAAAAGAAAAGATACATGGAGCCCACTTTTCTCTTGCTGCATAAGAGGTATGACTTTCAACAAGACTTTACTAGATTTGGGTGTGAGTGTGAATCTCCTTCCAACTTACCTTTTTAAAAAAAATTATTTATGAGAATTAAACCTACTGGTATTATTGTCTCTTTAGGGGATAGATCTATTAGATATCTTAAAGGGTTAATTGAGGATGTTATAATCAATATCGAAGGATGCTATTTTTCATTTGATTTTTTAATTCTAGACATGATGCCACCTGAAAATCTTAAAGAATCAGCTATTATTTTGGGGCGTGCATTTTCAGCTATAGTTAGTGCTAATATAAATTGTGCCACTAGAATAGTGGATATGTATTGTGGTGGTCAGCATATTTCATTAAATGTATTTAAGGCAGCTAAGTTTGCTAAAGAAGAAGGAGGAGAAGAGTATGATGTAGTTGATTCAATTATTGAGAAGGTATGCATGTTTGATACTTCTTTTGAAAATTTATCTTCTGGTTTACAAGAAATATTCGAAAATCCTTCACAGAAACCTATTGTTTTACCTTTGAATGCTCACAATAATTTAGACCTTAAACCTCTTCCGCATAACTTGAAATATACATTTTTAGGACCTAATGATACTTACCTACCATTATTGCATCTCATTTAACTTTTGATGAAGAATCAAAATTACTTTCTATTTTTAAAGAATATAAAGGTGCATTAGGATGGCATATGAGTGATTTAAAAGGTATTAGTCCTGATATATGCATGCATAAATTTGTTTTGAATGAAAATGCTAAACCTATACATGAGTGTCAAAGGTGACTAAATCTAAATATGATGGAAGTAGTTAAAAATGAAATTATTAAATGGTTAGAGGCTTGTTTTATTTACCCTATTTCATTCAAGTACTAAATGGTTAGGCTTGTTTCATTCAAGTTGTGTCAAAAAAATCAGGCCTAACCATATCAACTAATGAGCATGGTGGAGAGATAAAATCTAGGTTGCCTATTAAATGGCAGGTATGTATTGATTATAGGAAGTTAAATTTAACCACTAAAAAGGATCATTTTCCTTTACCTTTTATTGATCAAATTCTTGAAAAGTTAGCTGAAAAAACATATTTTTTGTTTTCTTGATGGATATTTAGGGTATAATCAATTAGCGATCCACCCTAATGACAAAAGAAGACTACTTTTACTTGTCCTTTTGATACATTTGCATTTACAAGGATGCCTTTTGGATTATGTAATGCTCCAGCCACATTCGAAAGATGCATGATCTCTTTGTTCTCTGATATGCTAGATGATTTTCTTGAAGTTTTCATGGATGACTTTTCTATTTTTGGGTCTTATTTTGATGAGTGTTTTGGACATCTCAAGCAAGTCTTGGCTAGATGTGTGGAGTCCAAGCTTGTTCTAAGTTGAGAAAAGAGCTATTTCATACTTAAACAAAGAATTGTTCTTGGACATGTGTTAAGTGAAGAGGAATTGCGGTAGATAAAGCAAAGGTATTATATAATTCAAGATTTACCTCCTCCTACTACACTAAAAGGACTAAGGTCATTTTTAGGACATGTTGGATTTTATAGAAGATTTATTAAAAACTTCTCCAAGATTTATAGGCCATTGACTTCCCTCTTAGCCAAGGACAATGCATTTATTTTTTCCCATGAGTGTTTAGAAGCCTCCAACACCCTTAAAAATATATTGATAGAAGCACCAATTTTGTGATCTCCGACTTGAGGGGAATCTTTTGAAATTATTTTTGATGCTTCTAACTATGCTATGGGTGTTGTTTTAGGGTATAGAATTGAAGGAAAACCACTGGTCACATATTATGCAAGTAAGACATTAGATGAGGCTCAATCTAACTATACTACCACTGAAAAAGAGTTATTGGCTGTTGTCTTTGCTTTAGAGAAGTTTAGAGCTTACTTACTTCCATCTAAAATCATTATTTACACTGACCTTGCAGCCTTGAAATATCATTTAGGAAAGAAAGATTCCAAGCCTAGACTTATTAGATGGATGTTGATATTACAAGAGTTTAATCATGAGATTAGAGATAAACTAGGATTTGATAATGGAGTCGCCGATCATCTTTCTAGGATTAATGGAAATGATAACAAGGAGTTAAATGATTCTTTTCCTGAATGAACATATTTTAAATATTAGTAGCATATATAGTCCTTCTTGGTATGTGATAAGTCTTCATTATCATGAGTTAATAATTAGTAAATAATATAATTTTAGCCTTAACTCATGATAAATAGACTTATATTTGTGTTAAAGAATGATTTTTTGTTTTCAATTGATTAACGTGAATTTTTGGGTAATTATGTGATTTTATACGATTTTTAAAGTCTTACTTTTGAGATAAATGAAGAACAAGAAATAAAAATAAAAATATTGCAAAAATGGGGGGACCCGCCGGCCAGTCGGGCCCGCAAGCAGAAGCGCAGTCGGGGAGTATGCCACGAGCAGGGGCTCGAGTGGCTTGGCTTGGGGACCGACAGGCACGCGTACGCCACTCCCCTTACAAGTCACCAGTGGTCAGCCGGCTGTGGGGCAAGGAGTGGTCGTACACGCGAGAGAAGGGACTTTGCTCACAAAGCTAACATTACTATATATTCGCTCGAAAACTCGGCGTACAACCGATGTGGGACTAAACCCACACCTTCCTCAGAAGAGGCGGGGCGACCAGCGCGGGTTTGAATCCTCCCAGAGTCAAAATTCATATATTTTTATCTGATTATCGCGACTTTCCTACAGATCGCCGGTGAAGGATTAAGCAACGAGAATCGCTGGATCATCGGCGAAAATCTCGTCAACGCGATTCGCGGAGCATTGCTACTAAAATTGCTGAACGATTCACGATAAAAGGATCGCGAATCCATCGAGTAAATCATCTTCGATTGATCGACGAACAAGCCGTCGTTGGGAAGAGGACGATCCGCCGGGAGACCAGTCGCCACCTCCTGAGAGCGTACCAGATGTGATGAAGAGCCTCCTCTTGCTGCGCGGACTTGAGGATGAAGCTCCCTGACATGCGCCCCACCTCCATCCAGCTCCTCTCCGTCGGGTGACAGCTGCCGGAGAGCCGCAAAGTCGCCGTTTTTCCGCTCCGCCGGGTGACAGCCGCCGGAGACAATTCGACGACCCACTTCATTGATCTCTAGACTTCGCGAGAAGATCTAGAGATTGCCCACATCGTCTTTGTCCAAGGAGAGCCTTCAAGGCCGTGGACACTGCACGACGATCCTCCCGAACGCTCAGGATTCCGGTCCATTGCCGACGCATCGCCGTCGCGACGCCAGAACTCTGTTTTCCTGCTTTCAATTTAATTTACGCTTTATTTAGTGATAATTTTTGTGATTTTAATTTACCAAACTATACTTCGTTAAATTAAGATTCTTCCGGCTTTTACAGATCTTAATTTGATTAATTAAGTCGTCTGTAATCGCTTACGTAAGAATCACCGGGCGGAACTCTGTTTCCGCCTGATTCGCGTTCGCCGGGCGCTGACGTCATCTTGACGCCCCCCCTTATTTCCTTTTTTTTTCATGAATTTTAAATATATTTCCTTTTTATTTCCTAGTATAAAATTTGTAAGAAAATCGTATTCATTGAGAAAAATTCTGAATAATTACCAGATATTATATTACATCCCTTTGATCGACCTGGAAAATTACCACTATTTGTGGGATTTTTATTGAATTATAATTGATATATTTATTTTGAAATACTTCTAAATATCTGAAAATTCGTATTTTCTAGTTTTATAAATTTTATATTTGCGTGATTTAACATACAACGATTGAGTCACGTCAACGATTTGCCAGGAGACAAGTTGCCACCTCTTGAGAGCATACCAGATGTAATGAAGAGCCTCCTCTTGCTACGCAGACTTGAGGATGAAGCTCCTTGATATGTGCCCCACCTTCATCCAGCTCTTCTCTGTTGGGTGACAACCGCTAGAGAGCCACAAAGTCGCTGTTTTTCCACTCCACCGGGTGACAGTCGCCGGAGATGACTCGACGACCTATTTCATTAATCTCTAGACTTTGATAGACGATCTAGAGATTGCCCATGTCGTCTTTGTCTATGGAGAGCCTTCGAAGCTGTGGACACTATACGACGATCCTCCTAAATACTTAAGATTTTGGTACATCGTTGATGCATTGCCGTCACAACGCCAGAACTCTATTTTCCTGCTTTGAACTTACTTTATGCTTCATTTAGTGATAATCTTTGTGATTTTAATTTACCAAAATATACTTTATTCTATTATGATTCTTCCGACTTTTACAAACCTTCACTTGATTAATTAAATCATCTGTAATCGCTTATGTAAGAATCGCCGAGCAGAACTCTATTTCCACTTGATTTGCTTTCGTCGGGCACTAATGTCATTTTGACGTCTGCACCTCTATTTCCCTTTTTCATAAATTTTAAATATATATTTTTTATTTCTTAGTATAAAATTAATAGAAAATCTTATTTATTGAGAAAAATTCTGAGTAATTACTAGATATTAAATTACATCTCTATGATCGACCTGGAAAATTAATGCTATTTTTCGAAGTTTTATTGAATTATAATTGACATATTTTTTCAGAAATACTTCTAAATATCTAAAAAATCATATTTTTCTAGTTTTATAAATTTTAAATTTACGTGATTGACTATACAGCAACTGAGTCACGTCAAATTTTAGTGCTGTTGCTGGAAATGTATTACATAATATTTAGTATTTTTTTATTTTTCTCTTAGAGTACACAAAAAAATTTAACTCTTGTTTTATTTTCTTTTTGCCAATTTGTTTTAAAAAAAAGGGAACGAAGAGAAGCAAGGCAAGGATTAGAGCATATTGAAGGAGGGTAACAATTACTAAACTTTTCCCTCAAATTTATTATTTTTTTATTTATGATAAAAAATCCTTACATCTAAGGCTAGAAAGTCCTTTCATTATTTCATTCAAAACTAAAAATTTGAAAGAAAGATAAATTTTGATGGATCCTAAAAAAAGTACAAGTCAAATTGAGAGAAAACCTATGGCCATGAAAAATCATTATATGCCGTATTCATTTCAAAGAGCATCCAATATTAGAGTCCTATTAGTACTCACTATTAAATTTGAAATAAATCTAGATTTTTTTTAAATGCTCCCTAATTTTCATGGATTACTTTTAGAGGAACCTCATTAGTACTTAGAAAAATTTCATATGATCTGTGATTTAGTTAATCTCTCTCAAGTTACATCGGAAATTATTAAGATGAAATTATTTCCTCATACACTTAGGGACAAAGCTAGTCATTGGCTATCCACATTAGATAGAGAATTAACTAGCTAGAAAGATATATAATAGGCCTTTCTTTGAAAATTTTATCTTTTAAGAAAAACTCAAAATATGAGAAAACATATATAGAGTTTTTGTCAAAGACTAAGAGAAATTTTGCATGAGACATAGGAAAAATTCAAAGATTTATTTAGAAAGTGTCCTCATCATGCCATACCTAAGTGGCAACTTAATAGAATTTTTTATGATGGATTATTAGAACAACATAGAAATATGGTTGATTCTATATGTGGAAGAACTTTTATGGAGAAAACTCTTGATGAGATTTATAGTCTTTATGAGAATTTAAGTGAAAATTCTAGAGATCAAGCCTCTTTTGAATTGTATGACAGGGATAAGAAGAGAGGAATTTATGAATTGCATCATGATGATGATTCTAAACTTAAAAATGAGGTAAGAACAAGTGTAAGTTGCTCACATTTTTAATAGAAATAGGAAACCTTTTTCAAATTCTTATAATTCTCATTAGAGGAATAATTTTTCATAGAGAGACCTAAATAATATTCAAAATCAAGAAGCACTTGGACCCAATTCAAACTCTGAATTTCCTCCAAAATAAGAAAACATATTTTAGAAAAATCAACCCTCTCAAATCCAACTTGATGTGCATCAAATGAGCCAAATGATGCAACAAATTATGAATCAAATGATGCTGCACCAGGAACAAATTATAGAGGCTCTTGGAGATAAGAGAGAAGAGGGACAACTACCTAGTGAGCCTAGAGAAAATTTAAGAAATTATCAAACAGTAGGATTTCAACAAGAAGAGTCTAACTAGATAAATTTAGAAAAAAACCCACAAATAAACATATTAGGACAGTTAATAGATTGAGTGAGAATATTTTACTTGATCCTTATTTTCAATTATTAGAAGAAATTGATAATCCATTAGAAGTAAATGAGAATATTAAGGCCGAAAATATAGTAGTAGAAAATTTGAATAAAATCATTTATTGCTCACAATTGATGAATGAATATAGTGAGGATGATGAGGAGAAAGAGTCCTTAGATGAAGAAATAGAGCTGATCATGGAAAAATCATCCAAATTTTAGTAGAAAGGAGTA